AGCCATCTTGGGTAGTTTTGAGTGTAGGGAGAGAAAGAGAGTCTAAAAGGTCCAAGGGAATGTGAGATTCAGAGGCTAGGAGCTCCGGGAAACACCTGTCAGGAGGAGGGGACTTAGTGTCTGCCAAACTAACTCCTAGAGTCCCTTGCAGATGGGTCGAGGCCGTTTAACGGCATCTTGGACAGCCTTCTGCAGGGAATGGCCACCGAGGAACGGGGTTCACACGCTGCAAAACTCGTGAATGTATTCCATGGCAAGGCGGAGCTAGGCAGCCCAGGGAATTCGGTGGCCAGTCAACTGACCTTAAACCACAGAAACGATTCTGGTTATCACCCCACAGCAAAGAGAAGCGTCAGGGCCAGCCTGCAGAGCAGGCAAGGGCAAAGGGAGCCATTTCAGTCTTTGACAATGAGGAGGGGCCCACAAGCCAAGGCATGTGGGTAACCTCTGACACTGGGGAAGGGCAAGGAAACCATTCTCCTGGGTAGCCTGCAGAAGAAACCATTCCTGTAACACCCAGACCCTGGTGTGATCGACCGTAGTGAGATCGACTTCTTACCATACGAACAGTAATTTTAAGTTGTGGTTTTGGAGAACACTAAGTTTACTGTGATTTGACACAATCATCCCAGAAGCTAGCACAGGGAAGGAAGCAGGCCACTGAGACCCCACAGGTCATACCCCAGCCCTGACCACACCCTCGCCATCAGCCACAACCACTCACTGAAATAGCAGTGCCAAAGGGCTGGGCCTCTGGGTGGCTCGCCGAATCTAGTATGTTTTACAGAAGTGGATCTTCTTCACGTAACAAGCAGGTGGCCCAAGCAGGGAAGGGAAACAGCCCGCATAGAAATGCTGGAAGGGGAGGATGACCCCTTCTGCTAAGGAACAGAGGTGAAGCCTACACCTGTCTTGGAAGCGCTATAGCCCATCCTTATTGGAAGTTTCTAAAAAGAAGCAGTTAACTAAGGGGTATCTTGCTCCCTGGATTCCTCAACGGCTGATCCGTGAGCAGGTTGAGAACACAAGACCTTGTTTAGCCAGTCTGCAACAGGATAACACAGTGGAGGCCAAATTCACTTTGCTACTACCAAAAGAATGGTCTCCGTGATGTGGAAAACTTCCTACAGGAAGTCAATTCAGGGAGAATGATCACTCACACTTTTTTTTAATGCACCCCTGCCTGATGTCGGACTGATTAGTCTAACAAAGAAGAGAATTGGGGGGGGGGCATGAAAAATTAGTCACGTGATCTGTTTTCTATTTTATTTGAACTAAGTCATGTTTATATTTTCACTTGACTTGGTTCAATGGGGGATGTAAGTCTATTTTCTCAGAGAACCTGATGTAACATTAGTAACCTTCAAGGCTATCGTACATCAGATTTATGAGACCTCACTTACCCATGGTTTGGGCACCCCTGGGAAATGAGGGGGTGTGCACAGGGAGAGGTGGATACAGGTCGGCTACATGTATTTACCAGCAACTGTACCCACCATCTCTGCCAAACTCAGGCTGGACAAGATGAGCAGCAGCAGGCTTGAGTTTGATCCCCTCTCCCTTCTCCTCCCCATGCCCATGCTGATGCTCTGAGAACAGTCCCTCCTTCTGACTTTGCACGTCTAGTTTTGCAATATCTCTCTCATAGAACAAGCAGTCTCAGCCCACTTCCCTGCAAATATTTTGTAGCAGGGAGCAGTGGAAGGTCAGAAATCATTGGGACAGAATTAATTTAGGAAGATATACAGGGAACATGTGATACAGCTCCACCACCCGAGGAACAATACTGTGAATTACATGGCACGTTCCTCCAGCGCAACTCTTTATAACCTGCAATAATCTCATACCTGCAACTTTTCATAAACTTCCATGATCTCATACCTGCAACTCTTCATAAACCTTCAATAATCTCCTACCTGCAACTCTATAAATTTCCCTAATCTCACACCTGTGACTCTTTATAAACTCTCTTAATTTCATACCTGCAACCCAAACCGATAATCTCATCTTCTGGAAGGTGGCAACCAGAAAAGTTCTGAGTTCTATGTTGGACTTCTGAGGGTCTAGCAGGCGAGGGCTCTTCTGGCTGGACCTGGTGCATGGCTCACTCCATACAGCTCAGCTGGTATTTTATTTTTTAATTTTTTGGGTCCCGTCATGGAGCCTGAGTGCTGTCCCTCAGCTCTTCAGCTCAAAGCTAGTGCTCTACCACTTGAGCCACAGCGCCACTTCCGGCTTTTTTCTTTTTTGCTTATGTGGTGCTGAGGAATCAAACCCAGGGCCTCAGGCATGCAAGGCAAGCCTCTACCACTGAGCCAACTTCCCAGCCCTCAGCTGGTATTTTAAATGACAGTCCTGGACATCCCCATGGCAAAGTGGCTGCTAAATGAATAAAGTGCCAAGTGCTCTGGATTGTGCAGGCACATTGTAAGACTCAACAAATTCTACAGCTGCTATTTCTTCCCCTCTACTACCTCAACTGGCTGAGGGAAGTACCACGCCCATAGCGCATAGCAGAGAGCTCAGATGGAAAGCTGCAAGCACCTAGGAGGAGAGGGAAGAAGAGGCCTTGGAGGAGACTCATTTGGAGCTAATATTTACTGAGTATTTTGTGCCAGGCTCTGAGTCATATCCCCAGAAGCCAGGAAAAGAGGAAAAACAGTGCAGGTAAGTGTGGTAAGGAAATCAGAGGTGGGGTCGAGGTGTTATGGGGATGGTCAGGAGGGGACTTGGTTCAGACAGCAAAACAATGAGAAGACACAAAGCACAGCAAGAGAAATTCAGTGATTTTTTTTTTATTTCTGATTGAGGATTTCAGCACACACATTATTCAATTGCAACACTTAGTGTGTCCAACATTTTTAAGGCAGTTAATATGATTTATGAACTGTGCTTCTGGCTATTCTTCCGCTCCACCCCCATCTCCCACCTGTTATTCCTTTTTTTTGGTCAGTTGTGAGGTTTGAACTTTGGGCCTGGGTGCTGTCCCTTAGCTCTTCAGCTCAAGGCTAGCGCTCTACCACTTGAACCACTTTGCCACTTCCAGTTTTCTGCGTGGTTTATTGGAGTTAAGTCTCAAGGACTTTCCTACTCCGGCTGGCCTTTGAACCAGAGTAGCTAGGATTCAGGCACGGGCCACCAACACCCAGTCCCCTGGTTATTCTTGATTATTTTTATTAAAGTGGGTTGCCTGGTTTTCTTTTCTTTTTTCACTCTGTAGAACTGCCTTCTGGCAACACCAGACTAAACAAGAACACAGGGTTTGCTGGGGAAAAGAAATCTTTGCACATAGGTCCTCAGCAGGTTTGAGATCATGGATCAGAACCCAAGGGTGCTGCTGAGAACCGGAGTCTAAACTTACATCAGGGCACCAAGCCTGACCTCTCTAACTCACACCAGGTCTTACTACCTTGTAACCACTGTTAAGCACTCCTTTGAGACTTGGGCTCCACAGGCTAAAGGCCCCACCTGGAGTTTTATCTGTAGGATCTACTGGGTGTTCCCACACTGAACTGGAAGGGCCAGAAAGAAGGAAGTCACAGCAAGAGTCACATCAGCAAAGGCAGCCCCACCAGCGTCAGCCTGCTTGGAAATTTCAGATGAGGAAACCTGCACCCTAGAGAAAGAATGTGGTGTATCTCAGCATCTGGGCCTAAAGTTCACTGCTTGAGGCACAAAGAAGCTGGTTAAATTTGTAATTCAAAAGCCTGTTTACTTTCCAAGTCAAAGAAAATCAGAATTCTGCAAGAAATTTCTCCCAGGGAGTAAACCCATCCTTCCAATCTTAAAAAACTCCATATGGCTGTGCAGGAATTGCATTTTCATTGCTGCTACACTGATTTGATATCATTCCAGCAGATTGGCTGTAAGAAAGGCTCAATCCCCGAGAGTGGCCTCCAGCAGAAGTAAACTAGAGGGTCCTCACTCTGCAGCCTAGATCTGCGGGCATGGAATTAAGGGTCAGAGTTATCTTTAAAAGAAACCCCGTGAAGGGTATTTTTGGGGTTGGTTTTGTTTTTTGGTCGGTTGTGGGGCTGGAACTCAGGGCTGGGGTGCTGTCCCTGACTTTTTTTTTTTTGGCTCAGAGTTACAACTTTACCACTTTGAGCCACAGCTAGGTCCACGTCCGTTTTTCTGGTGGTTAATGGGAGCTAGGAGACTGGCCGACTCTCCTGCCCCGGTAGCTAGGATGACAAACTGGAGACACCAGCGCCCTGCAAGGGTATTTTTGTTTTCGTCGTGTTCTCACCCCCCCCTCCCCAGGCTGAGCCTAGGGCTCTGTGCAGGCTCTTCACACTGAGCTCGGCCCTCAGCACACTGTCCTCCCCGTTTCTTTGACACGCAGGCAACCAAAATTTCCCCCAACGGTTTCCCCGACCGCTGGGACATTTCCCCTAACTCCACGCCATCGGAGTGCCCCGCACCCGCTCTCTACTTGCAGCTCCGCTGGGCGGCGGGGCGGCGGGGGTCCTCCGCCTCCAGCGAGGCGCAGCCCACTGTGGCGCCTGCGTGAGCGGGGGCCCCGTGCGGGACGGCCGTGGAGACTCGCGGCGGCTGGAAGACCACAGACGTGAAGGAGAAAAATCCCCAGAGTGAGGCTCCGCTGCAAGTTTCTGTTCTCCAAAGTCCGGGCTCCCAGCGCCGGGGTGCGGGGCGCGGACCCCGCAGCGCCGCGCCCGGCCCGGCCCCGCCAGGAGGGACTCCAGGAACCGGAGCGAGCCGGCTGGGGGTGCGGGGCGAGCGCGGGCCGCGGGCGTGCAGGGAGGACGGCTCTTGCCCGGTTCCCTCTGTGGGTCAGCAGCTTAGGATGTGCCCCGAAGCCCTCGGAGCACCGGCGGACCGCCACGGCCGCCCGCCCAGGTCGCGCAGGGGACCCGGGCCGGGCGCGCCGTCCGTGGGGCTTGCCTCTGAACTCCGCGCGGGCGGGCTGACCTCCCACCCCACCCGGCCCGCGCGACCCCGCCCGGCGCCCCCCGAGGAAAGCGGAAAGGACTCAGTACCAGCGGGCGGGTGTCCGGCTTTCGTCTCCAGTTTCCCTTCGGGAGGCGAAGACATGGCGCTCGGGCTTCGGCGGGACGGCGGCACTGAGGGAGGGAGGCGCGGGAGCACGCACCGCCACCGAGCGCCGCTGGGCAGGGGGCGCGCCGCCAAGCGCCGACGTGGCGGGCCACGCCCACCCGCGCTCTGCGCGGTGACGTCACCAGGCAGGTTTCTGCCTCGCCACCTCCTCGCGCCCGTATAGAGCGTGCGCAGTGGCCAGCGCCACGTTGGAAAGACCCTCGCGGTGAGGAGGCGGAGGAGGAGGGCGGGGCGTCGGGAGAAGAGGAGAGCCTAGGGGTGAGGGGCGGCGGAGTGGCGTCGCCGGCCGGAGGTTTGCCGGAGCTCAGCGAGCGGGGCCGGCTGCTCTCCGCACGGGATCGCCCTGAAGGCGCCTCCAGAACAGCTGGTGGTTGCCGGGTCGCACAGTGCGGGTCCCGGGGCGCACGGTGACTGCAGGGAAGGGGACGGCCCCGCGGGGGTCCGCGGCCTCACCCGCAGCGCGCGGCGGGGTGCGTGAGACCCCCACGTGGGGGCCACTCCCCGAGGACCGAGTCCTCCCGGCGGGCGGGTAAAGGCGGCTGGAGGGAGCCGCGCCGCGCCGCCCCGCGCCGCCCCGCCCCGCCGCGCCCCGCCGCGCCCCGCCGCGCCCCGCCGCGCCCCGCCGCGCCCCGCCGCCCCGCCCCGCCCCGCCCCGCCGCGCCCCGCCGCGCCCCGCCGCGCCGCGCCCCGCCCCGCGCCCCGCGCCGCGCCCCGCCCCCCCCCCCCCCGGCCCCGCGCCCCGCCGCCCCACCCCGCGCCCCGCCGCCCCCGCCCCGCGCCCCGCCGCGCCCGCCCCGCCCCGCCCCGGCCCCCGCCCCCCCCCCCCCCGCCCCGTCCCTCCCGCACCTCGTCACCCCCCCCCCCGCACCCCGCCCCGCCCCCCACCTCGCCCCCCGCGCCCCGCCCCGTCCCCGCGCCCCGCCCCGCCCCGCCCCGCCCCGCCCCCGCCCCCACCCCGACCCCGTCCCCCCCACCCCGTCCTCCCCACCTCGCCCCGCGCGCGCCCGGTCCTCCTGCTGTGCCACGGTGTCCTCCCCGGAGCCCACCCCGAGCTGGTCGGCTCCGGGGACCCCAGAGCGGCCGGTTGGTCCCCCGGCCCCTCCACGCCTCCCGACCCGGCCTTCTTTCCTCTCCCAGCAGTTGTGGGGTTGAACCGAGGGTCTCCAGCATGCCAGGCAGGCGCTCCACCCCTTGAGCCTTGCCTCGGCTCCTTTTTCCTTGGGTTGTGTTCCAGGTGGGGTCCTGCTGGATGCCCAGCCCGTCGGGGCTGCCACCTCCTGACTTGTACTTCTCCACGTGGTCGCTGAAGATGACCGGGGTGCGTCCCTGGCCCAGCCTCGGGTGGAGAGGTGGTCTGGGGAACATTGTGTGCCCCGGCTAGCCTCCTGCCTGGAAGCCCCCCTGGGTCTCCATCTCCCGAGCAGCTGGGATTGCGGGATGAAGGCACCGCCACAGCTCCCGTGTCTGGTTCTCAGCACGCTTCCCCCACGACCACCTCCAACTATGGAGACTCTTGTCAGGGTCCCTAGTGACCTTCATGCTGCTAAGTCCATACTTACCCTTCCATTCTCACCCCACCTGGCCTCCCAGCAGAACGTGGGGCTGCTGGCATCCCCTTCCCCCCAGCTTCTGGATGCCACACCATATTCAAACCATAGCAGATTCTCACCTGCAGGCCCACAGGCATGACTTACATCCCCCGCCCTTTTTCTTGCTGGTCCCGGAGCTTGAACTCTGGGCCTGGGCACTATCTCTGGGCTCCTTTTGTTCAAGGCTAGCACTCCACAGGTTGATCCACAGTGCCATTTTTGGCCTTTTCTCTGATTAATGGAGATAAGAGTCTCACAGACTTTCTTGCCAGGACTGACTTCGAATCACTATCCTCAGGTCTCAGCCTCCCAAGTAGCTAGGATTCGTGAGCCTGGAACACCTGGCTTCATCCATGTATTTCCAGACACCAAATCTATAAACCTACTTCTCTCATCTTGATCTCCTGGCTAAACCCCAACTGCATATATCTCAGAAGTCCTCAACTCTTCCTGCAAGAGTAAACACTTAGAAATATATTTAACCATACATGGAGTGTGCACCTTTCTTCTGTAATTCAGTATCACTAATTGGGTACCATGATCATTGCCAGCAGCTCAAAGACTTGTCTGCTATTTTGGGGGGGGGGGGTCGGGTCGTGGGTCCTGAACTCTGGGCCTGGGCGCTGTCCCTCAGCTCTTCAGCCCAAGACTAGCACGCTACCACTGGAGCCATAGCGCCACTTCCGGCTTTTTTCTTTTTGCTTATGTGGTGCTGAGGGATCGAACCCAGGGCCTCAGGCATGCAAGGCAAGCACTCTACCACTGAGCCACCTTCCCAGCCCCTTGTCTGCTATTTTTGATGAAGGAACAGCCTGGAAAAGGGCTGGGCACTGGGAGGATGGAGAGAACTTTGCTCTCCCCACTGTTTGGAAAGCACTTTGCAAACCATGATATACTAGAGAATGTGCTGTTATTTTTGCCATGGGGATTTTTCATTGACATTTATGGAATGAATTGTCCTGCAGTGTATTAAGATAACTCCATGTATCAGTCTGTTTGATTCACATTTTTTCAGGCTAGCCTTTATTTTCTGTTTGATGGATGAGAGTTTTTACTTCCCTATTTTATGACACAATTCATTTTACATCGTTGATCTGGCTCATAAAGAGAGGACTAGACCATCTTGACTTAGCTGCTAACATGCAGAAAATTTCTTTATCATGTTATCTTTAAATAAATTATAGTTGATTTGGCATATGTATACACAAAGATACTTAGAGAAGACACATGTGTGAAAGCTAAATAAAACTGAGAACGTATCACATGTATGTATATACATACATGTACACACACAGACATCAACAAACACACATGCACACACATATGCACCAGGGTGAGTAATTCCTGGGTGTTCTTTGGGCTTCAACTTGTCACTCCATCACAGAGTAATTGAGATAAACTTTGGGGTACTTTTCAAAAGTGATTCGGCAGCTAATAAGGAATACGAACTTTAGTCACATATGAAGTTATAGTTTAGTAAATGACCTCTGAAGGAAAAACTAACCAACTGAAACTTGGCAAATTATTCCTCTTATCTTTATTTGGAAGTTAGAAAATAAATACTGATGTGTTTTAGTTGAGCAGTGTGGGGAAGGGAGGGATAAATTGTGGTGTAGATTCTCCCTCCAAGTCATCTGACCTTGTGCAAGATGGTTTCATGGTCTGGGAGCATAATTTTGTTCTAGAGGCAATAATACTTACCTTGCTTAGGGACTTGAATTGTTATTCAATATTATGTCTTGGCATTTATCTCCTTGTATAAAATTTCCTACAGGCTATATGAATAGCTCTAAATATATATATGAAAAAAACACGGCAAAGTCATCAAGAAATAAAGGGGCTTTCAACAAGAGAATCCTGAGGGAGCTCGAATTTTGAAATGAAGAACGGCATATTTCTGTTGCCATTTAAAAAAAAGACTCCAGGAGACTATTACTAAGGACATCATTTTACTCCTTTGCCCTTAAAAAAAGGCATAGAAAGCTTTTCAAAGGCTCCTTAGGCGAGAACAACTCACCTTCAGATAGTGTCAGGGAATGACAAGTAGCAGAAGGGATTCTGAGGATGTTCCTGGCTTTTCCATCTTAGGACATTCTGGTCAGACTGTCCATGAGGGACGAGCAGGAGAGAGAGCTTTTAAATGGCCAGGCACTGGGCTAGACAGGGCTGAGGTGTGGCCTGACCGCAGTCAAATAGATGACTTCTGGCTGGAATGTGCCATTCTCTGTGTCTGGGGGTCCCTCCCATGGGAGGGTGACACCCCTCTAGAATGTTCTGGGAAGCAGATAAGAGCACTCTGAGTTACAGTGTGAACCCTGCAGAGCTGAGCACAAATCTGCTGGAAGAACATTGAACAATGAACTTCCAATACAAGGCAAAGTCACGGATGCTCTAGAACAGTCTGAGCTGGCCCTGGGCTAGGGGAGGCAGGAGTGACAGTTGAGCAGGGTTTCTGGTCAGTAGCCAGGACCTGGGCCTCGCCCTGACAGACTGACAGGATGGGGTGCAGAGAAATCATCTTATGTGGCAGAATCGCAGAAGAGAGAGGTGGAGACAGGAGACGGCAGAGCACATCCTCAGCAAACTTGGTCTGAGGGTGCCGTGAGCCTAGGCAGGTAGCGGAAGTCCTGCCCTTGGTCTAGCTGAAGAGCAGACAGCCAAGTCCTCTTATTTCTGCTTGCAGTCTCTTCCATAGCATGCCACATAGCCACTGGAACCCATAAAGTAGGAAAGAGCAAGTCCCATGTACTTTAGTAATACTACAAACATAGTTTTACCCACACCCCCTCCCCTTTGAGGGGTCTAGGGGGCCCCCAGGTTCTCCAGGACACACTTTGAGAACCACTGTTCTGGTTCACCCCTTAAACACTTACTAATCAAAGACCCAGAAGCAGAAAGCAGTGGATGCATGCTGTGGTCAGCACACCGCAGATGGTGGAGCTGGGGACCAGCACCTCCATCAGCAGGTGGACTCTTGGGGCTCCCTCCTTGGTCCAGCTAATGGGCTCAGGACAGCCACTTTGCGTTGGCAAGAGGGACAGACAGCCGCTGTCCCTGCAACTCCAGGGCCACGTCTGTGCTTCTGAGAGCCACAGCTGTTTCTCAGTCCACACAGCCTTGGTAGCGTGCTGGTTGGCTAGGTGATCTCAGATCCTGGACAGTGTTAAGGACCCCATTTCCCCAAAGCGCTGTTCTGCACGCAGTTTCCTGTCATACTTGGACTCCTTTCAGGGAAGAGCATTGTGCGAGCACATTTTTCTGGTATCTGGTATGTCTGCTTTAGTTCTTACATGGAATGAGATGTATATCTTAAGTGAATTTTTTTTTGAACCATGTAATTTAGCACTGGCTTGTTATATTCTCCTCTTCCCTAGAAGGTTCTTTCTCACTCATGGAGATGATCATCTCTTTTTCTTTTGATTCAAACATTGATGTTCTGTCGTCTGTATTTCCAAAGTATTGCCTTC